AAAGCTTCAACTGGGAAATTTTACCTCATCCACCATATTTGCCAGATATTGCTCCCAGTGATTATCATCTTTTTCGGAGTTTGCAGAATTTTTTAAAAGGAAAAACTTTTGAGGATGAGAACAATGTAAAAAAGGCTATTTCTGAATATTTTGATTCAAAACCAAAATCATTTTACAAAGACGGGATTAAAAAGCTATCATCAAGATGGCAAGAAATTGTACAAAATAATGGTGAATACATTATAGATTGAAATAAGATTTAATTAAAATTTTTTGTTGTTTTTTTTGTAGATAAAAATGCGCACGAACTTATGGACTGACCTGATACAAAGTAACTGGTTTTGACTTATTTCTACTTAAGAAGTAGTTAAATAATTAAGCGATTAGGGAATTGGGGACATAAACAAAACCCCAATGAAAGAGCTGAAATTTTACTTAAACAAAAGCTTAACTGAACCATCTCTAGCCAAGTACAGTGGAGACTGATTTCTTCGTATTATTAATGTAATAAAGACAGAAATTTTTCCAGTTTAATGAGAGTGACCGAAAAGTTGTAAATTTTGGAAATTTCTGAGGACACTTGGTCCTAAAACGAATTAGTTAGAAAACAAATGGCTATTAAGTTTAACATATTTAGATTTTTACAGCTATGGTGGGAAACGTTTAAAATTTGCAACAGCCCTGTCGCATCCTTTGAGAAATACTAGTGATGTGACAAAAGATTGACATTGTATGCACGCTCTGCAACCGTCTTCGATTCCATCCATTAGCCACTCATAGGGAGCTAATGGATGGAATCGAATGGATTTGACTAAGTGCATTGTTTTAAGATTTAAAAAGTAAAGAATATTTTATATTTTTATGTACGTTTGTTTACAAAGCTATATTTAATTGTAATTTTCTTTAAAAGTATATTTGTACAATTGAAGAATATCTTGTATCAGGTATGTACAGTACTGGTACATCCACCACACATTTTATTTCACTAAGTAAGTTTTTATTATTTTATTTTTAATTGTAGCCCTTATATTGTGGCTAGCGTTTCGGAATGTAATTGTGATATTAAAAATGCATTTAGAGAAGTCTATGGTTTTTACTGGCTTATCGAATAAACGATACGAATGTACCCTAGACCATCACTAACGCACAATTGAGTGATTGCTCCTGGATGTTGTCTTCTTACAGAAACACAGCTTCCCTATCATCAAATGTCACGGCACGCCACTGATATGTGTGATACAAAATGATCTTTACGAATCTTAAGCATAAGATATAAGTTTATGACACATAATTGACAAAAACTTAATCTATCCAAAACTCTGGACTTTTTTAAAATGCAAATTGTTAAAAATCGGAACTGTCTTGACAAAAGCAGGACATCTGATCACCTTACTCTTATAAAATTTTTTGTAATATCATAATTGATATTCTTGCTTGAAGGTTTTACTGTTTTTAATAAAAATATTTGCAGCATTTTTAATGTCTTTTTATTAAAATATTAATTTGATTAATTTAATATATAAGGTTTTGTGTGATTGTCACTATGTATATAACAATATATATCATGTTTAGAAGATAAATATTTTTATATGCTTTCATTTTTTTAATATAAAATTACTTTAAAAAAGTTCATTCTTAGAAGTTAATAATTTATCTAACTTCATTTTTAATAGTGAAAATAAACAAATTTTTTGTTAGCAAAAAAATTTAAGTGTATATTAAGAACTGGAAGGAAATAACAAGAACTAGACTCTAAAAATACCTTCAAATTCCAACAAAGAAACTTTTGTTGTTGATAAAACTGATGTTTTTAATCGTGTCAAACATTAAACAGTTGTCTTCAGGTTAAAAGGACATTCAAATTTACAAATAGCATTAGAACATGCATTTTAAATATAATGGAACATCTGATTGGGTTACTTACAGATATTGTTACACATGTACCAGTACAAGGGATAAGTGTATGACTTGATTGTTTGAGTTTAGATGTATTTATTTTATTGAATATGATATATTCATTTCAAAGCATTTGTTATAGATTCAAAGTCCTTTTAATTAATAGTCTTGGACTTGAGGAAAAATATTCTTTGCTGGAATTTGAAGATGGTTTCAGAGTATAGTTATTATAATTTAAATGTACAATGGTATCTCAGTACTCTAACTTGATTTGTTCCAGAAGTCTGTTCAAGTACCAAACAAATTTTTCCCATAAGGAATAATGTAAATTAGATTAATCCATTCAGACTCCCAAGAATACACTTATAAAAGCATTTTAACTAGAATTTAACATGAAGTTTAGAAGCCTAGCATGCATAAGTCATAAAAAAACAAAAAATACCCATATGCAATACAAAGTAGCAAAATATGTCTACTGTATTAAATTTATTGGGTTGAACAGAAAGTTTTTTAGTATTATTAACAGCTGTCTTTACTTAACATAGATATGTGATTTAATTATAACAGTTGTGGAATTTAACATGTTATTACTAATGCAAGATTGTATTCTTTGTTTAGAAGCTTGTTTAAAAAATTTTTTACTTCACATTTTGTTTGAATAAAAACCAAGTTGAAAAGTCTTCAGATAAAAAGCATATCAGACATATGCTTTGAGTTTTGGAAAGGATATAACACCATACAAACAGTAAAAAAAATTGTAATGTATGTGGGGAAGATGCTTCTAAATTTCAAATGTGTCAAATGTGGTTTTAGAAGTTCCATTCGGAAAATTTTGAACTAAAGAATACACAATGAAAAGGTTTCCAAAAGCCATCAATGAAGAAAACTTTTAGGAAGAAATTTAAAATTAAATTTCAGGAAGAAAATAAAAATCAATGACTAACAACTTGTGAACATGGGACAAATTTTAATGTGTCATTGATATGTATTGTTGAAACACTTCGACTTGAAATGGTTGTAAAACATGATGATTGTGTTCTGCATGCATTAAATGAAAAAAACAACTGGATTGAGTATAATTTTGTCAGACAAAAGGTAGGCAGCTGTTAGGTTTCATTTTATTTTTAAGTTAGTTATTCATTATCATAGAGGCTTTTTTACAGATGATAAAATTAAAATGGGAAAATTTGTTATTAACTGGAAATTTGTTTTAATGGGTTGTAATTAATTGGTTGAGTATCGAGCAAATGGTCGAGAACCAAGTGATTTTTTCCTCCAAAATATGTTCAAATACTGAATTGTTTGAATTCATAGCAGTTCGAGTACCGAGGTACCACTGTGATAAAATTTTAATCAGTCTTATCTTTAAATTCAAAATCAATCCAACAATTAAGTTTTTATCTTTCAGAATTAAAATGAATAAATACTGTATACGCTGACATGTAAGTTGACCCCAAGATTTATAGAATCAAAATTATGATTTAGATCTATACTCATTATTTATGTCAACCCCAAATATTGGACTCAGTTAGGCTACTGGTAGGCCTTTCCACCCTGTAGGCACTACAAGGAATTTTTTTTTCATATCTATCATGAGTTTGGACTGGATAGTGAGGACAATACCTGACATACTTGAGATTGACTACCCAAAAAAAATTCTGCAGTTTTTGACAGCTCATATTTGATCTCCAGTTCTGTAAAGCAGTAAGTTGACACCTAAACCATCTTGGCCTTATAGCCATCACTACTGGTAGGTTAGAAATAAAATGTTTATATATACAATGACTTGTGGGCACGGTGGAAGCTTATAATCAGACCACTTTTCTTGAGACACTAACTATAATATCTCTCTTTTCAGTGAGTGTGTGTATATATATAAAAATGGACGTGTGTGTCCCTATATTTCACTTTTCAGCCAAAACTACACATCGCACATGAATGGTGTTTGTATGTAATAGTAGCCCCAAGTCTCCATTCGTGCACTATGGTGGTTGCGTCTCGATAGCTATAAGGGTGCGGGAGATATGGGCTTGAAAGTGGTTGAAAGTGGAAGATTTTCTATTTCAATTTTAAAAATTTTCGAATTCGAATTGGTTTGATTATAGAACGATTGTAAACGTTCCAGAAAATTGATCAAATTGAAAATAGTTCGTTTGACTGGACGTAAAAATTTTCTAATTAGTCTGGAAACGGGGAACCTAATTCTTGCATTCTGTGAAAAACGGGTAAGATTGGCTATAATGTAATTATCTTAATCTTCACTATTGTTACTTTTTGTCCAGCGAAGCGGGTCCTTGCAGCTAGATTCTAGATTACTTAGAAAAACAGCCTTTTATATATTACATACTATATTACATACAAATAAAAACTCAGCAAAGCGAGTCCTTGCAGCTAGTATATATATAAAATCTTTATCTATATATATCTATATCTTTTTGCATGAGTTGAATTTTATATATATATATATAAAAGATATAGGGGAGAGAATATTTATGTAGGAAATGAAATATTTGTGATGGCTTTTTAGAGTTACAGTAAAGAGTGCACAGAAATTGTTGAGTGCAATTAAACTCATTTACTGCTTTGTGGTAAAGTTTTACATTGCATAATCCAACCCTAGGTTTTGAATAAATTTTTTAGATTTAAAATGCAGACTTATAAGCTGGCTTATACAGTAATTTAAAGTTGTTAAAAGATTTAATTTTTAACACACATATATATAAATATTATAACAATAATATTTTTAAAGGGAAAAATATGCATATTTGAAAAGTCGAAGTCCTCTACCAAATAACAGCAATTATTATGTTTGTGATCAAAGTTATTGGACACCTGCTACCACTCAAATATCAAGGTAGATATTAAAATTATTTTAAACATAAAATTAGTTGTATTTTATATTAAAAAATATATAGAATAAGTGAAAGTAAAAGGCTTCATTACAATTTAAACACATTAAAAATGGTTTTAAAAAAGGAATAGTATACAGTGCACTCTCACTAGTTATGATTAGTGTTTAATCTAAACCAATGTTGATATGTTTTACTGATAAATGTTTCAGCCAGAACAAAAAGTAATATACAATTACTTTTTAAAACATGACCAATTTGTAAAATAATAATAGATCTGTCACATATTTTAATAAATATATTATTTCACATATAAATCCCAGTAAGAAGACCATTTGGTGTTGAAACATAAATCCTGTAAAGTGATGTCCTCATCATTGCTATTTTTATTCATTATTGCACTGACCACACATCTTCACTCTAATAAAACTCCATTATGGTATCAACTTTGGATATCATGGTAGTAGTATCAATGAGTATGGTGGTATCCATGGTGCTACTTATCTGCAGGAACTAATCTTTGCAGATGATGTCATCTTCATTGATCAAGCCCTTTTCAACAGCCCAGCAACATTGCAACAAACTAACAAATACAGCATTCCTCATTGGACTAGTTCTAGGTACTAAATAGGACATGAAGAATAGAAAATTTAAAGCACAAGCTGCCTTCAACTTCATGAACCAAATACAGAGATCCAGTTACTTAAACACTGCTATGAAAATCAGACTCTACAAGACTGTTCAAGCTCCATCATACCCCATGCTTCATAAAACTGGAACATCTCAAACAATAAAGTCTAAACAATTAATAAATAGCTTCAATACCATGTAATGCAGATGTCTCTACAGCAACATACTTGAATTTCTGAAAATAAACCTCAAGTCTAAGAGTTTCTCAAACTATAGGTTGCAACTAGGGTTTCTTAGAAGGGATCCCGGTTGTTTTTTTTAATCCGGGAAATTCTTTTCATTCCGGGAAATCCTGCAAATTTTTTAAAAGTTCACTTTTTTTTATTTTGTGTTATGGTTGAGGAAATTTTGCAAATAGAAAGTATAATTAACTCATAAACTGTCAGAATACATTTGTGTTTATTAATTTTAAACCTACTTATTAGTTTTTTAAATTTTTGCTTGTTATGGCACGTCACAAATGGTCAATAATCAAAATGTGCCTTATTTGTGGCAGGACTCTGAAAATTCTTTGTCAGAACCTGTAATATCTGAAATAATTGTGCTTATAATGTCTTAATTTTTAACCATGCCCAGTAATTTCAATAACTGCATAATGTCAGGTTGTGCAAATTGGGCAAGGATACAAATGAGTATGAAGTTGCAAATATGAAGTTTTTCTTCATAAATTCGATAAAAGACAAACGAACTGCCAAATTATTGGGCTATAAACTTGATGTTTCTATTAAAGCAGCCAAGGTAGACAAATCAAAAATACTAGAGAGCAAAAGAAATCTTCCAGACTATAGGTGAAAAAACACATAACATCTGTGATTAAATCAAATTTTGACCATACAAATAATTTTGGGTCAGTATAAAATAATCCTTTTTTAATAATCCAGCTAGAGACAGATGGTTAACAACTTAAAAACTGACGAAGTGACTTTAAAAAAATACATACAGTATACAATTGACTCCAACCTTTTCTTGGAGGATCTGACATCAACGACACAGCCATTAAAAATTCTTCACAATGTCACTCAGGTACAAATCAGTTGTATTTATACACATCTGCAGACCTCTGGTGGAAACTAGGAGAGCATCATAATTAGCATATCTACATGAATAACAAACTTCTAAGGATAAATTTTTTATACTGACCCAAAATTATTTGTATGGTCAAAATTTGATTTAATCAAAAAAATTTATCCTTGGAACTTTGTTATTCATATATCATCTGTCTTCTCTTAAATGCATTAAATGCAATTCCACCCACATCAATTGAATCGGAAATGGTATTCTTGGTAGCAGGACTTCTTATTACTAAAATAAGAATCAGATTGAGTGATCGGAGTATTGACCATCTTCGCTTTTTAAAATCTTAATACAAAATATTATTGTAAATTTTTATGTTTTATTTAAAAAATGAATATTACCTTTTAAGCTAGAAGTTTGATCTAAGTTTATTTTTTTTTTTTTTTTAAATTTTCAACTAAATTCAAAACATTTTTTTTTGTTTTTGTTTTTTGTTGTTGTTGTATGCAGTTTCTAGCAAACTTTAATAAATTTTTTCTATTTGTGAAAATTTCTACATAATTCAAAGGTAATTTTTAATATACAGTAGAACCTCGATTATCCGGACTAATTGGGGATGAAGGTAGTCCGGATAAGGAAAAATCCGGATAATCGAAACAAATACTTTAATTTGTCTTTTAATGATAATATAACACGTTTTCTTTTCGATGACATATCGGTAATATTAAAACTAAATACTGTATTTAAATCGTGATCAAATTTTCAAAAAAGAAACATTCGTATTGCATTTGGACTACTACTGACCAACGCTAACAGACTACCTATTGTTTAAAAGGCCCTCTGGTGGCGCAAGAAGACGGATTTTATAAAATAAAATGCAGTTGATACTGCATTTTTATGAATAAAAATTTGACAAACAATTTATCATTTTATGACGAGTAAAATTTTTTCGTCGCGTTCGCGGCTTTTAAGTAATGCGTAAACCTTCGAGGCGCGAGGCCCTTCGAACCGCGAGGCATAGGCGGTGGCCCACGTCATCCATGCCTTACGCCGCCCTTGGTCATAGAAATGATATAATTTGAATATAAATTATTTATAAATACGTATGTCAAATTATATTTTTATTACTACGTAAAATATATTTAAGAGTTTACGACCACTGTGCTGGGTGAGACGTTGTTGAAACAAAAAAAGTTATGCATTCCAGTGCAAATCAGCAAATTCGTAAAATTTTTGTTTATTTTGAACAATCCGGATAATCGAAAATCCGGATAATGGAGGTCCGGATAATAGAGGTTCTACTGTATATCTTACACAGCATTATTAATATGATTATGGAGATTGCAGAATGTATTAAATTACTTTAGAAAATGAAAAATAATTAAATCTTTTGATTTCAAGATATTTTGTATATCTTAAAAATAATTAATTCTATCCTGGAATGCTGGGAAACAGTTCACTGTCTTCCCAAAATCCTGGGACAAGCAAAAGACCGGGAAATGAGAAACCCTAGTGGCAACTTAATATTGGGTTGCAGTAATATTTTAATGTGTTGTGAAATGATTCTACCTTCCACAGAAATACTTGTAATACTTGTATTACTGAAATATTCTCTAAGAACTAAGAAAAATAGATGCATCTGTTAAGTATTGAAAACTTTTAACAACTTTTTTCTTATCATAATTATTGTCATTTAGTAATAAATTAAGATTATAGAATGTAGATATATGAAATTGATTTTTCTTTTCTATTTTAAATAACATCAAAATAGATATTTTATGTAAGATCATAGTCATAAAACCATTTAAATTGCAATGGTTTTGAAAACATTTCCTTGTTTATTCAAATTTTTAGACTTATTGCCATCTATATATATATATATATATAAATGGCATAGGCGGTGGCCTATGCCTCGCAGTCCACGTCGTCCATGCCTTACGCCGCCCTTGGTCAAAGAATTGATGTAATTTGAATATAAATTATTTATAAATACGTATATCAAGTTTTTTATTACTACGTAAAATATATTTAAGAGTTTACGACCACTGTGCTGGGTGAGACGTTGTTGAAACAAAAAAAGTTATGCATTCCAGTGCAAATCAGCAAATTCGTAAAATTTTTGTTTATTTTGAACAATCCGGATAATCGAAAATCCGGATAATGGAGGTCCGGATAATAGAGGTTCTACTGTA